TAATGGCGGGCACCGCTTACATACGTAAAATGGCACCTGCTCTTTGTCTTGCTCGCTTGTAAGGTGAGTGGAGAGAGAGGCTAATGTCCATGCCAGTTCCCCTTATTTATTCGTTTTTTTCTCTCCTCCAGTCATCCTGGTGAACTTTCCCCAGTGGGGCTTCAGGCCTCGTTCCCTGTAGGCTCTTTCTGCCTTTCCCTGCCAATGTCTTGGGTTACCGGGGTCTTTGTCTCACCTCCCCTTCCAGCGCTGGCACGCAGACTCTGCGGCGCAGCTCCGGCGGCTCCCACGGCTCGGCTTCCACGTGGTGGGTGACCTTGCTCTCCCCGTAGGTCCTCCGTGTCACATCCACTAGATCCAGAAGAGTTTCCTCTGCAATTTTTTCCTGATCCTTTTCCTGAGGCTACAGTAACTCCACTTTTATTAAACTATCTTTTCCCGGACTATCGGTGCGCGCCCTCACTATTCCGCCATCTTGGCTCCGCTGTACTCTATTATTCTACTTTCTAAACTCTTAGCACACTCTATTTTGCTTAAATTTCTTCTGTTTATTTATTTATTTGTTTAAAGAGTTATTTATTTATTTGAAAGAGTTACAGAGAGGAAGAGGCAGAAGCAGAGAGAGGGAGAGAGAGAGAGGGAGAGTGAGAGAGAGGGAGGGAATCTTCCATCCACTGGTTTACTCCCCAGATAGCTGCAACAGCCAGGGTTGGGCCAGGTCTCAGCCAGGAGCCAGGAGCCAGGAGCTTCATCTGTATCTCACATATGTGTGGCAGGAGTCCAAGTACTTGATCTGTCTTCTGCTGCTTTCCCAGGTCCACTGGTAGGGAGCAGGATTGCACGTGGAGCAGTGGAGACTCATTCAGGCAGTGGCTTTAGCTACTATGCCACAGCACTGGCTGGGCTCCATGTTTTACTTATTTAACTACTTGTTATCCCCAACAGAAAGTGAGTACCAAGAGAAAAAGGACTGCACTCTTTTCCTTACCTCTCTTTGTGTAGAGCTGATACTATTGTGGGGTGGAGAATACATAGATATGCAACAAATATTTATTGAATATGTAAATAAAGGCAAGTTGCTTCAATCCCGTCCATCCTTTCCCCCCACACCTCTAACACCCAGATTATAAAAACTTGAATTTAAAAATTTTGTAGGTTCAGATGCCAATGAAATTTAAGTTATTTCTGAAGCTTAGCCAAAATATTTTCAGTTTCAAAGAGAATACAGTTTGGTTTAAAGTTCCCATTAAACAAATACAGGAGGCAGATTAAATCCAACCATTGAAATACATTTCTAAATACTTCTATTAGTAAGGAAGTCACAGGACTCCATAGAAGTTCTAATATTTATTCTAAAACTTTGTTTTACAATTCATTTTATATGTTTTTATTTTAGAGCTACATGTACAGATTTGCAGATAAAAGTCTTCTTTTTATCTTTATCACCTGCAAATATATTCATATTTAGAAATACACACCCATAGTTGTCTCAGTTTCTACATGGCATGATTCATGCCTACACTGATAACTTTTTTGTGACCTCTGATTGGATATATCTTTTATTTATTTGTTCAACTACATGGGATTTTTCCATCATAAAGGAAGCATTAGGGATTTTCCATGCTTTAGTTTTCAAACATTTCCCTTTAAATTTCTCATAATTGCATAATTGCAACATGGGATGGCCCCATGACTCCTTTTTAGAAATGACACATTAGAAAACACCTGGCAAGGCGTGTCCTTGGGGTCACTGAAGTCCTTCTCCATGCTTGGTGACTCACAGGTAACATTTTAGACCTGAATCCCTGTAGAGAAGAAGCTATGCAACCTAGCATTACTTTAACTATAAAATTGTCTTGCAACCATAGCTGTCTTGGCAAAATTCCTTCTTCCTTTTTATGCAAAATATGCTAGTTTTTAGTTTCCTATGACACCCTAGGCTTTGTGTCAACATACTTTATAATATGATGACTTAATATATGTTGAAATACAACGTCTGGTTGACTTAGCAGATGTCACGTTCCATGTTAACTATTTTAGAAGTTTTCAAAAAATAAACTTTACAGGGAGGATGTGGTGTTGGAAATTCCCATCAAAATTAGGGGTTTAATGAGAAATTTTGAAAGTAGTGGATGATTCTATTACCTCTGACTATAAAAATAGTTTGTACCATGCATTTCTTTAGATTTCTTAGAAAAACCCCTAACATAACAAAGACTTAATAAGGTTCTAAAACTTGAACAATAAAATCTTTGTGATTAGCATTATTACAAATAAATCCACCTATGGTGCACATTGAGCCCTTAAGCATGGAAACTAGCTTAACATTCTTTTCTTAACTTACATAAAATTTCTCCCAAACTCTAGTTCCTTCAGAAGTAAAATGAGGATAATAGAGTCTTCAGAACTTGATATAAGGTTTGTTAACAAGTCTGGCGAAGGGTTGATTAGAGGTGAAGTTGTCAGTCCTGAGTGAATGTGCTGAACGGCCTTGCAAGCCTCCAGGCTTGCTCTAGACCCTTCGAAAACTGACTGGGGAGCCCACAACCATTAGCAGCTCAGAGTTCAGGCAGTATCCAGGGACTTCATGGCATAGAAGGACGTGGGGAGCAAAGGAAGTAGTCATGTGATGACATAAGTGGTCGAGTAGTTCAAAGTCATTAAAAAGGACTGTTTAGAATGTGAACATTTCCTGGTGTCTATAGAGAATTATTTCTCCGGTCTTTAGAACTTTAAAACATATGTCATGATTCTCCAGGCGAGGGCTGTAGTTTGCTTTTTTTTTTCCCCGAACAGTTTTGTCCTGAGACATTTGATGGTCCTAGTGCTTCCAAGACTGCATTTTAGTAAATTTTGTGTATGGTCACTTTTTGCTTATTTAGCTACTGCTCAGTGTTTGAGTATCCTGACTCTTTGATCATCATTTGTTCTATATTGCTAATCATGCTAATAAGTCATTTCAACTAAATCATAGTCATGGAATAGAAGATTTAAATTTCAAGTAGTTTGTGGATGTAGCTTTTGGTTGAACTTGTGAATCAGTCACTTATTTGATTGGCTTACCAGCAACTGCACTCCCCCTCCCTGCCATCTTCTAGCAACTTTCCACTCTCCTTTTCCAGACATGGCCCCTCCCTTCCCCACTACAGCATGAAAACTGTGCTGTTCTTATTTTGAAATCCTGCCTTCTGGCCATAGTTGTTAGATGGCAAGTGGCCATTTGACTTAAATTGGTTCAAAAGAAATAAAATATTAAGCTGTAAAAAGAGAGAGAACAGTAACTTAGTGGACACCTAGACCTTAACTCTGTGTTCTGGTGTGACATATTTCTAGAACCAAAACAATAGGGGTAGTGGCCAAGAGGAGAGATGGAGGCTGGGGTTGGGGGAGAAAGAGAAAGAGAGAGAGAAATAAAAAGAAGAGAAGCAAGAGAAGAGAAGAGAAGAGATTGGAGAGAGGAATGGTGAGAGAAGAATGAAGCAGTTTGTGAGAGACGAGCACAGATGATGGTTGCAGAGACTCCTGACTGAGTCCTCGTTTCAGCTCTTTTGTCCTTATGTACAGTGACACAGCCGTGACAGATAATAATGCCTGTTTTACTTGAGTCAGTTCAGTTACTTTTCACCAAAATAATTATACTTACTACCATCTAGGCATAGACAATTCAATTATAGTGACACCCTAGTCACTATTTATACCATTCCTGTTATCCATAGAAAATTCAGATTTTACTTATTTATTTATTTATTTTTTCTGACAGGCAGAGTGGACAGTGAGAGAGAGAGACAGAGAGAAAGGTCTTCCTTTGCCGTTGGTTCACCCTCCAATGGCCGCCGCGGCTAGCGCGCTGCGGCCGGCGCACCGCACTGATCCGATGGCAGGAGCCAGGAGCCAGGTGCTTTTCCTGGTCTCCCATGGGGTGCAGGGCCCAAGCACCTGGGCCATCCTCCACTGCACTCCCTGGCCACAGCGGAGAGCTGGCCTGGAAGAGGGGCAACCGGGACAGAATCCGGCGCCCCAACCGGGACTAGAACCTGGTGTGCCGGCGCCGCTAGGCGGAGGATTAGCCTAGTGAGCCGCGGCGCCGGCCCTTTACTTATTTATTTTTAAAATATTTTATTTATTTACTTTTTGATGGGCAGAGTTAGAGAGAGAGAGTGTGTGTGAGAGAGAGAGAGAGAAAGAGAGAGAGAGAGAGTTGTTCCTTCTTTTGGTTCACCCCCCAAATGGCCGCCATGGTCGGTGCACTGCACCAATCCGAAGCCAGGAGCCAGGTACTTCCCCCTGGTCTCCCATGCGGGTGCAGGGCTCAAGCACTTGGGCCATCCTCCACTGCTCTCCTGGGCCACAGCAGAGAGCTGGACTGGAAGAGGAGCAACCGGGACAGAGTCTGGTGCCCCGACCGGGACTAGAACCCGGGGTGGTGGCGCCGCAGGCAGAGGATTAGCCTAGTGAGCCGCAGCGCTGGCCTATTTTATTTATTTTAAAGGCAGAGTTTTACACACACACACACACACACACACACACACAGAGTGAACGAGAGAGAGATCGATCTTCTATTTGCTGGTTTATTCCCCGAGTGACCACAGTGGCCAGGACTGGGCTATGCCAAAGCCAGGAGGCAGAAGCTTTATCTTGGTCTCCCAAATGTGTGGCAGGTGTCCAGACACTTGGATCATCTTCTGCCTCCTTTCCAAGGCCAATTCCCGGGGGCTGGATCAGAAGTGGAACAGCCATGACCTGAACTGGTGCCCATAAGGAATGCTAGAACTGTAGATGGCAACTTAACCTGCTGTGTCACATGCTGGCCGCCAGATTTATTTTTCACAGCTAGCATTTAATGTTTAAGTAAAGATCACTTTAGTAGGCTCAGTGTACAAAAAATCCTAGATAAGCTATTTGAGGGTTTAATATTTTTAAAAGAATTTATAAAAATATTAAGTGTATCATCTGAACGTTGTATAATAAAAAAAGAAAAGGAGGCATTTCAGAAGCAGGAAGCAGCAAGAAGAAAGGCAGAAAGGTACAAAAGTGAATGGCATGTACAGAAAATGAAGAGTAGACTCTTCACTAAAATGCAAGAAACTTGAGAGAGACGATGGTAGAAAGATTGGTTGGAAACAAATTATAAAAGGTCATGAGCCATGGAAATTATTAAAGGTTTTAACCAGTTGAGTGACATCCATTTATTTGGTTTTAGAAGTAACTTTGGATAATGTTGAAAGATGTGTACAAATGAGAAGACATTGGACAATAATTATTGATTAATTGATATATGATGATTGATTCAACAAGATTACAACAGTGGATCTAGGGAGAAGGACTGTGTCTCAGAGTCACTTTGGAAGTATAATCAGTGTGTTGTAATAACTGAACGTCAAGAGTCTGATATTGAGTGTGAGAGAAAGAGGCTCTCAGATGGGGAAATAGATGATGGCAATGATAGAGACAGGAATACAGACCTGAATAAATAAGGAAGGGAAATGTGTTTTGGACATGTTGAGCTAAAATATTTTGAGTTCACCCAAGTTTACATATACAATAGGTGGTTAGAAAATTCCATAATGATTGTTTTCCCTGTTGTAAAAATGATAAGCACTAGAAAAATAGACACCGCAATCATTACCCTCATCTCAGAAACAATGAAGTAGAAAGAAAGCCACAAGTTTGACTGAAACAGTGCCAAATGACAGCTCTCAGGACAAGGAATTGAGAACAGATATCCCGGTACTCGGGCAACAGGGGCTGTTCAGGGTGTTCTGCAAGAGCAAGGGTGCGAGGACACACTAGACATCCAGGGAGAAGTTCCCTTTTCCTGTGGAGCAAACATCTTTGTTTGGGGGCTATCATCTGGGTTCCCTGTGGAATTCAAACATGTATGCTGTCATCTCTAAGACAAAACTTGGTGGGGGGGTGCTGTGGCATAGTGGGTAAAGCTGCCACCTACAGTGCCGGCATCCCATATGGGTGCTGGTTCAAATCCTGGCTGCTCCTCTTCTCATCCAGCTCTCTCCTATGGCCTGGGAAAGCAGTAGAAGATGGCCAAAGTCCTTGGGCCCCTGCACCCCACGTGGGAGACCCAGAGGAAGCTCCTGGCTTCTGGCTTCAGATTCGCCCAGCTCCAGCCACTGCCAGCATTTGGGGAGTGAACCAGTGCATGGAAGACCTCTCTCTATCTCTCTGCATCTGCCACTCTGTAATTCTACATTTCAAATAAAGAAATAAATCTTTGGGAAAAAAAGGACTAAGTTAGAAAGATCCAAGGAATCAATTTCTGTAAGTGGCTGGGGAGCTATCCAAAACAGACCTCTGCTGAGAGAAGAGTGAGTCAACCCCAATTAAAACATCATTGTCAGGGTAGGTGTTTGGCACATCAGTTAAGGTGCTCCTTAGGACACCTGCATCCATATTAGAGTGTCTGGGTTTAAATTCTGACTCTGCTCTGATTCTAGCTTCTTGCTGGTGAACACCCTGGGAGACAATGGTAATAGTTCCAGTAGTTGGGTGCCTGCCACCCACACAGGAGACCTGGATTGAGTTCTAGCCTTCTGGCTTTGTACTGGCTCAGCCCTAGCTGTTGTAGGTATTTGCGGAGTAAACCAGCAGATGAAAATCTCTCTCTCTCTCTCTGCCTTTCAAAGAGATTAACATTTTTATAAAAACTCAAAAGAATAAAAATGTGTCATTAATGTAGGAATAATTCTGAGTAAGGCTGTGGCTGTTTTCCTCAGTTTGTCCCTTTATTTTATCCTTGCCCAAAGAGACTTAGGACAGAGCCCCCAAAGAGGAGATATAAAAATAAGAGATTTAAAAACTTGAGAGGACAGGCAACAGTTGCACATGTCCTGTGCAGCAGAGTATAGCAAACTGTGCGTTCAGGGAGATTTCTCTCCTTGTGGTTGAGTTTTGGAGCAGCTTGAGTTATGGACAAGAGCAACTTGAAAAGGGAAAAGCAGGATAGAGTGTCACACTAAGAGACAACAACAGTAATGAGGGAGGAGAAGAGGAAGCCTTGTGGTCCCAGAGAGCTAATGATGAACAATGGTAAACCCTGGTGCCTCTGGGTACACATTGGGAGAATCTGGAGTCCCTACATCTGTGGCTGAGGAACAGGCTCAGAAAAGTGCTGTTTCATTATTATTTTTGATAGTACTTTTTCTACCTTTGTTTATTCTGCAGAAATGTCTTAATTACTGTATTTAAAAAATCTAGATATTACTGTCATAGACTCAAATTAAATAAAAAACACAGTGCAACCACTACTGAATTCAGGAGAGATTTTTTTAAAAAAAGATTTATTTATTTATTTTAGAGACAGAGTTAGAGAGGAGGGGGGAGAGAATCAGAGAGAGAGAGAGAGAGAGGGAGAAATCCTCCACCCGCTGATTCAGTCCCCAAATGGCTGCAACAGCTGGAGCTGGGCCGATCTGAAGTCAGGAACCAGGAGCTTCTTCCTAGTCTCCCATGCAGGTGCAGGGGCCCAAGCACTTGGGCCGTCTTCTACTGCTTTCCCAGGCCATCAGCAGGGAGCTGGATCGGAAGTGGAGCAGCCAGGACTTGAATCAGCACCCATATGGGATACCAACACTGCAAGTGGTGGCTTAAGCTGTTACACCACAGTGCAGGCCCCCTCAGGAGGCATTTATAATAAACAATTGACATATTCCCTAGAAATTCTACTCTGGGTAAAAGAAAAAAAGGACTTTCTTATTCGCAGCCCTTGTTTCAGGGTTGCATCGCTGGAAATGTATCTCATTCAGTGGATCCTTCAGAATCGTTAGTGTTAAATCTCATTGTCTGTGGCGTGTCTCTGGGAACACGCTTCCTTGATCAAGAGTGTCTTGTGTGTTCATAACTGTTTAGTGAGATTTACACACATAGTCTGAGGAACTCCTTCAACAACTCTGTATATGAAGTATTATTTCATTCATGTTAGAGATGGATGGGGGTTAGCAAGTGAAATCCCACCTACTGTCACACAAAGAATAGGGCAGGAACCAGCCCAAGTTTATTCAGCAGCCAGGGAGGCATTAGAAGTAGCTCAAGTGCATCAAAAATTAGATCTACCACATTTTACTCTTTTTTAAAGATTTATTTATTTACTTGAGATTCTGAGTTACAGAAAAAGAGAAGAAGTAGAGAGAGTCTTGCATCTGCTGGTTCACTCCCCCAAACAACTGCAATGGCTGGAACTGGGCTAATCTAAAGCCAGGAGCCAGGAGTTTCTTCTGGGTCTCCCACACAGGTGCAGGGGCCCAAGACTTGGGCCATCTTCTCCTGCTTTCCCAGGCCACAGCAGGGAGCTGGATTGGAAGTGAAGCAGCTGGGACTCAGGCTGGTGCCCATGTGAGATACTGGCACCGCAGGCAGATACTTAACCTACTAAGCTACAGTGGCAGCCCCCACATTTTACTCTTTACAGTGTTCTGATGTACTGGAATCAAATTCTATGAAATTTTTAACATTCATTTATTTATTTGAAAGACAGAATTACAGAGACAAAGGGAGACACACACACAGAGTTCTTTTATCTGCTGATTCACTCCCCAGATGGCCACAACAGCTGGGTTGGGCCAGACCAAAGCCAGGAGCCAGGAGTTACTCCAAAATCTCTCATGGGTGCAGGGCCCAAGCACTTGGGCTATCTTCCGCTGCTGTTCCTAGGCCATTAGCAGGGAGCTGGATAGAGAACGAGGCAGCCAGGACTCGATCTGGTACCCATATGGGATGCTGGTGTTGCAGGTGGCAGCTTTAAGCACTACACCACGATGCCAGCCCCTGAAAGCCTCAGTTTCTCCATATCATTCAAGGACTTACCCTTGAACTATAACTATATCTCTTTCTGTTTTTTTTTTTTTAATTTATTTGACAAGTAGAGTTATAGACAGTGAGAGAGAGAGACAGAAAGGTCTTCCTTCTGTTAGTTCGCTCCCCAAATGGTGGCTACAGCTGGTGCTGCACCGATCTGAAGCCAGGAGCCAGGTGCTTCTTCCTGGTCTCCCATGCAGGTGCAGGCACCCAAGCACTTGGGCCATCCTCCACTGCCCTCCCGGGCCACAGTAGAGAGCTGAACTGGAAGAGGAGCAGCCGGGACTAGAACCCGGCACCCATATGATATGCTGGTGCCGCAGGTGGAGGATTAACCAAGTGAGCCATGGCGCTGGCCCCTAACTGTATCTTTTTCAATCTACCTTGTTTTGTGTAGGTTGAAATTTATCCCATTATACCTGTTCCTGGGAATTATTTATTGGAGATTTTCCTGGAAGCACACTGAAATGTGAATTTATTATGGATCTTGTCACTTTTTTCTCATGTTGCTTTCAACAACTTAGAGATAACATCAGATAATAATCAGTAATTGCAATGCTTTGGATACAAATCATGGCTATCATTCCACCACCACCTGAGTAATACATTAAAATAATATAGTGCATTTTTATTTGTGAAAATAAAGAATTTCACTCTTCACAGTATTTTTCATTTTATGTTTATTTAAAAAATGTTACTTAAGGTATACAAATTTCAGGTAATTCATATATACAGGTTCAGGAACAGTGATGCTTTCCATCCTGCTCTACCTGCTGCTCACACTCCCACTCTTATTTCTCCTCCCTTCCCTATTCACATTCTTGTTTTTACAAAGATCTATTTTCATTAACTTCATACTCATAAGATTAACTCTACACTAAGTAAAGAGTTCAACAAACACTATGAAGAAAAAATACTATTCCTCAACAGTTGAGACAGGGTTGTTCAAAATCAAGCATCTCAAAACGTCAATTTCACTCCTATAGGTTATTTTTTAAGTTATAGGTTATTTTTTAACTCTATTACTTACCACAGGTAAGAGAAAACATATGGTATTTGTCTTTTTTTTTAAGATTTATTTTATTTATTTGAAAGACAGTGTTACAGAGAGAGGTAGAGACAGAGAGAGAGGTCTTCCATCCACTGGTTCACTCCCCAAATGGCCACAACGGCCGGAGCTGTGCTGGTCTGAAGCCAGGAACTTATTCCAGGTATCCCATGTGAGTGAAGGGGCCCAAGGACTTTAGCCACTTCTACTGCTTTCCCAGGCCATAGCAAAGAGCTGGATTGGAAGAGGAGCAGCTGGGACTAGAACCAGCACCCATATGGGATTGGTTTCAGGCCAGGGCTTTAACCTGCTATACCACAGAGCTGGCTCTAGATATTTGTCTTTTTGGAACTGGCTTATTTCGCTAGGTATAATGGTTTCCAATTGCATCCATTTTGTTACAAACAACAGGATTGTATTTATTTATCTTTATTTTTTTTTTTGCAGTGCAGTATTCCACAGTGTATATATACCATAATTTCTTTATCCAGTCTTCAGTCGATGTACATCTGGGTTGATTCCATATCTTAACTATTGTAGATTGAGCTGCAATAAGCATGGGTGTACAGACCACTCTTTCATATTCTGATTTTATTTCATTTGGGAAAATTCCCAGGGGAATGGCTGGGTCATATGGTAGGTCTATACTGAGATTTCTGAGATATTGCCACTGTTTTTCACTGTGGCTGCAGAGGTTTACATTCCCACCAACAGTGGATTAGGGTGACTTTCCCCCAATTTCCTCACCAGTGTTTGTTGTTTGTTGACTTCTTTATGAGAACCATTCTAATTGGGGTGAGGTGAAACCTCATGTCGTTTTGATTTGCATTTCCCTGACATTGAGTGAGCCTGATTATTTTTTCACATGTTGTTGACCATTTGAATTTCCTCTCTTGAAAAATGTCTGTTCAGGCTGGCGCCGCGGCTCGCTAGGCTAATCCTCCGCCTTGTGGCGCTGGCACACCGGGTTCTAGTCCCGGTCGGGGCACCAGATTCTGTCCCGGTTGCCCCTCTTCCAGGCCAGCTCTCTGCTGTGGCCAGGGAGTGCAGTGGAGGATGGCCCAATGTGGGGAGCAACTTGGACTAGACTAAGTTACTGGAATAAGACTTATTCTATGCATCTGCTCTCCCACAATATGGCGCTGGGAGAGGAGTAAACAACTTCTACACAGCTGCCTCTCGCCAATTTGACTGATGAGCTGCAGGAGCTGATCTTGCTCCTGATTGGAGGAGAGCAGCGTGCTCGGCGTGTGGGTAGCAGAGTTGGGATTGGTGGAAGAGGACTATAAAGGAGGAGAGAGACAACATGCACCAGGAACATCTATCTGAAGGAACACCTGTGCAGCCCCCGAGAGAGCCGGCCGGCAGTGTGCCGCTCCCCCGCGGAAGTGGGGAAAGTGGCAGGGGGAGCCGCCCTTCCACGGAGGTGGAAGGATCGGCAGCCAACCCGGGAAGGACCAGCAGCAAACCCGGGAAGGGCCAAGCAGACAAAAGAACAGCGCAGGGTTTAGTGTCATTCCTCCATGAAGAGGGGGAGCGACAGCCCAAGTCCTTGGGCCCTGCACCCCATGGGAGACCAGGATAAGTACCTGGCTCCTGCCATCGGATCAGCGCGGTGCAACGGCCATAGTGCGCCGGCCGCGGCAGCCATTGGAGGGTGAACCAACGGCAAAGGAAGACCTTTCTCTCTGTCTGTCTCTCTCACTGTCCACTCTGCCTGTCAAAAAAAAAAAAAATGTTCAGGTTCTTTGTCCATTTCTTAACTGAGTTGTTTGTTTTGCTGTTGTAGAGTTTCTTGATCTCTTTATATATTTTGGTTATTAATGCTTTATTGGAAGTTAATTGAAAATAGATCTTAATGAAAAATAAGAATGGGAATAGGAGAGGGAGGAGGAAGAAGTCTGGGAGTGTGGGTGGGTACGGTGGGAAGAATCAGTATATTCCTAACGTTGTTAAACATTCAAAAAAATCCTTTATCAGTTGCATAGTTTGCAAATAATTTCTCCAGGTCTGTCAGTTGCCTCTTCACTTTGCTGAGTGTTTCTCAGCTATCTAATCCCATTTGTCAATTTTGGCTTTGATTGTCTGTGCCTCTGGAGTCTTTTCCAAGAACACTTTGCCTATGCCAGTATTTTGCATGGTTTTGCCAATGTTCTCTATATTCTGCTCCATTGGTGTACAAGTCTGTTTTTGTACCATTACCAGGCTGTTTTGATGGTAACTGCCCTATAGTATGTCTTGAAATCTGGTACTGTGATGCCTACAGCTTTGGTTTTGTTGTGTAGGATTGCTTAACTGTTCCATATGAATTTCATTATCATTTTTTTCTATATCTGAGAAGAATATCCCAGGTATTTTGATTGGTATCACATTGAATCTGTGTATTGTTTTTGGTAATATGGACATTTTGATAGTGATTCTTCCAATACATGAACATGGAAAATTTTCCATTTTTGTGTCTTATATTTATTTCTGATGTATTGTTGGATTCAATTAGGTAGTATTTTGTGGAGAATTTCTGCATCTTTGTTCCTCAGGGATATTGGTCTATAGTTCTCTTTCTCTGTTGTATCTTTTTCTGTTTTAGGAATTAAGGTGATGCAGGCTTCATTTCAGGAGTTTGAGAGGATTTCCTCCCTTTCAACTGTTTCGAATAACTTGAGAAGAATTGGAATTATTTCTTTAAATGTCTGGTAGAATTCAGCAGTCTTCACAGTATTTTATCACATCCATTTGAGGTGGGCCCAGCGGATGACAAACTGTTAAACGTTAATGTAAAAGCTGTCCTTATTTATATGAGTCAGTTGGGAAAATGTTTAGTATTACACCACACCTTGAAGGTTAATAAACTGGGGCAGAGTTAGACCAGGGGAAGTGCTGAATTCCAGACTGAGCAAGGAAGCAGAAGAATGACATGAGAAAATTTGTCATCAGTTTGGGAAAACAGTAGTGTCCCCCTACCCATTGTTTATCTTTCCAAGTTTTAGTTATCTACAGTTAACTGCAGTCCAAAATTACTAATGGAACTTTCTAAAAATGAGCAATTCATAAGTTTTATTGAACATCATTCTGAGTAGTGTGATACAACCTCACAGCAGCCTACCTTGTTCCACCCGGGATGTGAGTCATCCTTTTGTCCAGCATGTCCACACTGCGTACGTTACCTGCCCAGCATCATCACAACCGGATGACCAGGATCACCTGAAGCAGAAGATCCTGCTCCCCATGCATCATCAGAAGGCTGGGAGTAGTCTAATGCCACATCATGGTGTCCAGGTCATCCGTGTCTCTTCATTTCATCACATAGATGTTCTGTCACCTCACATCTTCACAAGAAAGGTGAGCACATCACAATGAAGTATTTTTAGAGACAGATGGAGACAAAGATCACATTCACATAACTTTTATTACACATTGTTATAATTGTTCTATTTTATAGTTAGTCGTTGTTGTTAATCCCTTACTGTGCCTAATTTATAAATAAAACCTTTTCATACATTATATATATATATATATATATATGAGAAACATTGTATATATTGGCTTCTGTACTATCTGTGGTTTCAGGCATCCACCTGCTGGTTTTTTTTTTTTTTTTTGACAGGCAGAGTGGACAGTGAGAGAAAGAGACAGAGAGAAAGGTCTTCCTTTGCTGTTGGTTCACCCTCCAATGGCCGCCACGGCTGGCGCACCGTGCTGATCCGATGGCAGGAGCCAGGTACTTATCCTGGTTTCCCATGGGGTGCAGGGCCCAAGGACTTGGGCCATCCTCCACTGCACTCCCGGGCCACAGCAGAGAGCTGGCCAGGAAGAGGGGCAACTGGGACAGAATCTGGCGCCCCGACCGGGACTAGAACCCGGTGTGCTGGTGCCGCAAGGTGGAGGATTAGCCTAGTGAGCTGCGGCGCCAGCCCCACCTGCTGTTTTGTAATATATCCCTCTATATGAGGAGAGAGGACTATAATCTCTTTTGTTGCTTTCCAAGGAGGAAAGAAAAAATGGGAAATCAAAGGAGAACTGTACAAACAGCTACATCTAGTAATAACAAAATCAGGTTGTGTAAGTAGTATCCAAGAAGTCACAGTAAAAGTAGAGAAAAATAAATAAGGAAAGTGATAGATAAAAGGGGAAGAAATTATGGTTCACTATCTCAATTTCATCCTAAAAGATAATTTGATCTCTTCTATTTCCTTTTTGTTTTTAAAATCATATTGGATCTCACAGTATATTTTAGAACATTTTTATTTATTTATTTGAGAGGTAGAGTTACAGACAGAGAGGGAGAGACAGAGAAAGGTCTTCCATCCACTGGTTCACTCCCCAAAATGGCTGCAATGGCCAGAGCTGGGCCTATCTGAAGCCAGGAGCCAGGAGCTTCTTCAGGTCTCTAAAGCAGGTGCAGGGGCCAAAGCACTTGAGCCATCTTACTCTGCCTTCTCAGGCTATAGCAGAGAGCTAGATAGGAAAAGGAACAACTGGGTCTAGAACTGGTGCCCATATGGGATGCTGCCACTGCAGGCAGGAGCTTAGACCACTATACCACACCACTGGCCCCTGGATTTCATAGTATTAATAACAGGATTTCCTGCTAAATAAGAATGAAATGAAAACTATTATATTCTTAGCATTTTCTAGAAGTGGCAAATATTTATTTTTTTGGTTGCCCAATGTCTCTTGTGCTTCTAATAAGAGATTTGCTTTTACAGAACTAGCATTTTTCCCCTTTGAATACCTTTCAGAGTTTCCCCAATGTTCTCTAATAATTTGATAGTATCAAGTCCTAGATTTAGGTCCTTGATCCGTTTTGATTGGAATTTTATATAAGGTGTGAGATAGGGGTCTTGTTTCATACTTCTGCATGCAGAGATCCTGTTTTCCCAGAATCATTGGTTGAGGAGACTGTCCTTGCTCCAGGGATTGATTTTAGCTCCTTTCTCAAAGATAAGTTGGTTGATTTCTGGATTTTCTATTCTGTTCCGTTGGTTTTTATGTCTCTTTTTGTGCCAGCACCAGGATGTTTTGATCATAACTGCCCTGTAGTTGTGTTGGGAAAATGTTTAGTATTACACCATCTAGGTCTATACACATGTATACCTCTTAGTGAGTTTCCCCAGACCAGTTCTGGGGATGCCTCCAATTTGTTTTTGTTGTATAAGATTTCTTGAGCTATTCAGGGTCTCTTGTATTCTGTTTGAATTTTTGCATCATTTTTTCACAATTCGAAAAGTATGTCCTTGGTATTTTGATTGGGATTGCATTGAATCTGTAAATTGCTTTTGGTAGTATGGACATTTTGATGATATTAATTCTCACAATCCATGAACATGGAAGATTTTTCCATTCTTTGGTGTATTCTATTTTTTTCTTTAGTGTTTTATAATTTCCACCACAGAGATCTTTGATCTCCTTGGTTAAATTTATTCCAAGGATTCGATTTTTTTTAGCTATTGTGAATGGGATATATCTTAAATGTTCTTTCTTAGCCATAGCATTGGCTGTGTATAAAAAGGCTATTGATTTTTGCATGTTGACTTTGTATCCTGCCACTTCACCAAACTCTTTTTATTTATTTATTTATTTTTATTTTTTGACAGGCAGAGTGGACAGTGAGAGAGAGAGACAGAGAGAAAGGTCTTCCTTTTGCCGTTGGTTCACCCTCCAATGGCCGCCGCAGCCAGCGCGCTGCGGCCGGCGCACCACGTCGATCCGAAGACAGGAGCCAGGTGTTTCTCCTGGTCTCCCATGGGGTGCAGGGCCCAAGAACTTGGGCCATCCTCCACTGCACTCCCTGGCCACAGCAGAGAGCTGGCCAGGAAGAGGGGCAACCGGGACAGAATCCGGCGCCCCAACCAGGACTAGAACCCGGTATGCTGGAGCCGCAAGGCGGAGGATTAGCCTAGTGAGCCGCGGAGCCAGCCACCAAACTCTTCTATGAGTTCCAATAATCTCTTAATGTAGTCTTTTGGATACCCTATATTTAGATCATGTCATCTATAAATAGGGATGATTTGACTTCCTCCTTCCCAATTTGTATCCTTTGATTTCTTTTTCTTACCTGATGGCTCTGGCTAAAACTTCCAGGACTATATTGAACAGCAATGGTGAGAGTGGACATCTTTGTTTTTTAATATTTATTTATTTATTTATTTTTAAAGAATTATTTTATTTATTTGAAAGAGTTACACAGGGAGAGGTAGAGACAGAGAGAGAGGTCTTCCATCCGCTGGTTCACTCCCCAGATGAGAATGGATGGAGCTGCGCCGATCCAAAGCCAGGAGCCAGGAGCTTCTTCTGAAGGGTCTCCCATGTGGGCGCAGGGGCCCAAGGACTTGGGCCATCTTCTACTGCTTTCCCAGGTCATAGCATAGAGCTGGGTCGGAAGATGAGCAGCCGGGACTAGAACTGGTATCCATATGGGATGCTGGCGCTTCAGGCCAGGGTGTTAACCCACTGTGCAACAGCACTGGCCTCTATTTATTTATTTGATAGTCAGAGTTGCACACAGAGAGAAGTAGAGGCAGAGAGAGAGCAAGAGAAAGAGAGAGAGAAAGAGAGAGAGAAAGAGAGAGGTCTTCCATCCACTGGTTCACTCTCCAACCAGCCACAATGGCCAGAGTTGTGCTGATCCAAAGCCAGGAGCCAGGAGTTTTTTCAGATCTCCCACGTGAGTGCAGGGAGCAAGGACTTGGGCCATCTTCTACTGCTTTTCCAGGCCACAGCAAAGAGCTGGATTGGAAGTAGAGCAGCTGGGACTCGAGTGGCTCCCATGTGGGATACCGGCACTGCAGGCGGCAGCCTTACCTACTGTGCCACAGCGCGAGACCTGAGAGTGGGCATCTTTGTCTGGTACCAGATCTCAGAGAGAACATTTCCAACATTTCCCTATTCTATTTGATGCTGGCTGTGGGTTTGCCATAAATTTCCTTGATTGTGTTGAGGAATGTTCCTTCTACCCAATTTGCTTAAGGTTTTTATCATGAATGGATATTGTATTTTATCAGATGCTTTCTCTGCATATATTGAAATAATCATATGGTTTTTGTCCTTAAGTTTGTTAGTGTGATGTATCACAGGTATTGATTTGTGAATGTTGAACCTTCCCTGTATACCTACATAAATCCCACTTGATCTGGGTGAATGATCTTTCTAATGTGTTGTTGGATTCGATTAGCTCTTATTTTGTTGAGGATTTTTGCATATATGTCCATCAGGGATATCGGTCTATAGTTCTCTTTCTCTGTTGTATCTTTTTCTGGTTTAGGAATTAAGGTGGTGCTGGCTTCATAGCAGGAGTTTGGGAGGATTTCTTTCTTTTAAATTATCTTGAGTAATTCTGGCTCTTCTTTAAATGAACTCAGCAGTGAAACCATCCTGTGTTTTTTTTTTTTTTTGGGGGGGGGTCTTTATATTGATTTAATCTTGATCTTGGTTATTAGTGTGTTAATTAGTATTTTCTATGTCTTCATGACTCAATCTTGGTAGATTGTATGTGTCCAGGAATTTTTCATTATCCATTTTTCCTAGGTTTTCCAACTTATTGGCATACAGTTCCTTGTAGTAATTCCTGATGATTTTTCTTATTTCTGTAGTTATATCTTATGTCTGTAGTTACATTTCCTTTTTCATCTCTGGTTTTATTGATTTTGGTCTTTGTGCTCTGTGTTTTGGTTAGTTAGGCAATTGGTCTTTTTTTTTTCCAAAAAATCATTCCTTCATTTCATTTATCTTTTCATATTTTTTTGGTTTCAGTTTTGTTTACTTCTTCTCTAATTTTAATTACTTTTTTCCTTCTAATTTTGGATTTGTTTTTTTTTCTGGATCTTTCAGATGTAATGATAGCTCATTCATTTGTTGCCTTTACAATTTCTTGATGTAGACACCAATTGCTATAAGCTTCTGTCTTAACAATGCTTTTGCTGTATCTCATAAGTTTTCATGATGTATTGCCATCTTCATTTATTTCCAGAAATTTTTTATTACTCATATTACCCACTGTTCATTCAAGAGCATGTTGTACTATGTCCATGTGGTTGCATATATTCTAGAGATTCTTTAGTTGTTGATTTCCAGCTTCATTCCATTGTGGTCAAAAAGGATGATAGTATGATTTTGATTTTCTTGAATTTGCTAACTTGCTTTATGGCCTGGCATATGGTCTATCCTAGAGAAAATTCCATACACTGATGTGAGGAATGTGTATTCTGCAACTGAGGAATGAAAAGTTCTGTAGGAGTGGCTCCAAGATGGTGGAATAGGGAGGGAGCTCACTGATAGTCCAGGAAAAGATAGTTTAATAAAAGTGGAGATAGTGAAGTCTCAAGGGAAGAGTTAGGGAAAAA